GAAATACAAATTATATGTAATAATTAATAAAAGTATGAGTGCAAAGAGTATCTCTTCTGAGATACAAGTGATTATAACTTAGAAGGTAGAGACTTTTATAGGAATGATACATAAACAACCTATTAGAAGAAAATGGATCCTACTTGGCCATAGCATTTTTGGAAATAGTCAGTGCTTAATAAATGCCTTGAGAACACCTGCAGAAGGGTTATGAGATTACACAGTGAAATATTATTTCATCACATAATCACTAATACTTAATTACCCTTAAAGAAGGCAAAAATGCTTTTGTAGTCAATTTTATCATCCATGTTTCTGAAAAGTCCTGACTTGCATATTACTTCTAACGTGTCCCAGATCTGATGGTTTTCTTGCTATTATTCTTTGTGTTGATACCCATCCAATTCAAAAACTTCCTGACCAGTGTAATTATAAAAGTAAAGTGACATTACAGACCTTTGCACTTCTAACACAGAAAAAGTCCTAAGCCCTTCCTGGTTTTGATGTCTTCTCAAACAGATGGATGTTGCAACAGCTTCATGATGTGCTCAAGAATCTTGAACATTGCCAGAAAACTAAAAAGTTCTAGTGAAGAAAAGCAAACTGTTAGAGTGTTGATGGGGAAGTAGCAGAGAAAGGGATCCACTGTCCACTGGATCAGAGTGCACTTTGCTCTTTTAATTTTCTGCATTTTTAATTGTGCTCTCTTTCTTCTTCCCTTTTTATTTAAACATGAAGCTTTATCATTTTCCTTGCCTTTTCTTCTTACATTAAAGATATTATTTTCTGAAAGCCTTCTGTTTCCAGACATACAGCATGTAATTTGGGAAATGATCAAATTGTTTCTATCATAAGTGTATTCTAGATAATGAATTATGTTTAGTTAGTTGCGACAGTTGTTCAACGTATTACAGGATCATATGAATATCCCTATTATCCAAAATGACTTTACAATCCAACACAACTTGAATGAGAGGACATTTCAAATTATTCCAGAATGATAGGATGCCTAATATTAAGTTTTTGGATGTAGTTTTCAGCTTCTTTTTAGCTGTGAAACTCATCATTGAAAGGTGGAACCACTGATCACTGGTGAATCTGGACGGGTAGTCTAACAGAAAGCATTTATGACCAAACTTTTACCTTACGTACTACATATTAGTTTTCAAAGGTAAAGCAGAAAGCCTGACTGTAATTTATGAGACATAATTTGAAGATCAGTTAATAGGTTGATAAAATACATTGCAGAAGTTCAATATTGACATCCAGTCATCTAGCATCATAGAGGATGCTTTTCCTAAGATTGTAATTCCTTCATGTAATTTCTGTTATGCTGTATTTTTATGTGCAGAATGCTTGCAACTTTTCAAGTAGTATCCAAAAAGTAGAAGTGATTTATGCTTTAAGGTGTTTAGTTAATAAAGTGATTTGGTATAATATATCTGTTGCAAATCTGCCATATTTCTAAAAAGAACTTTCCTTTAGCCTGTCAGAATCATAGGAAATCCAGTCTTACACATTTACAATATAATGAGTGAAATGACCATTCATTCTGGAAACCTTGGGGATTTTCAGGTGCAAGACCTAAAATAAAGTGTCAGTGAGATGCAGGCAGGTTTCCTAGAAGCAGTGAGCAAAGTAATTAATTACAGGTGGGAGATTTTTCCTTATCTACTAAGACTAAAAGAGTCAAGTATTAACATGAAAGGAAGATAAATATTATGCCTTTACAACCTTGCTCCCAAATCATTAAGTAATCATTAAGATGAAATATAAATAAATCATAATTGTAATGTTAGTATGGCTGTAATTATTCTTTAATTCCAGAAACTCACAGAATGCCTATGTTCTCTTAAAAAAAAAACCCAACAAACTATTGAAAACTCAGAAACAAAGCATGTTATTTTTTCTCTACTTCCCAAATGGACTTTGCATGTTGAAATATAAACCTGCCTCAGTTTATACAGGGATCTTCTATCAGCACTCCTGTTATCTTGTCAGAATATGTCTCTCCATGAGTTTGTATTTTAGCATATCTGTCTCACAGTTGATGCTTCTCTTTCTGCCTTCTAGCAGCAAAAGAAGAGGCAAGGTTGATTTAGGAAAGTTGTGATTGATTGAGATTGGCTGGATGTACCAATTACAATCTTTTCCTTACTCTACCATATGAGCAACCAGGGCAGTGTTTCTCCTAAGGGTGCTCAGGGTCAGATACACGGGGTCAGTCTGCCAGCACACAAACTCCTTGGGAGTTTCAGGAGCCCCAGTCGTGAAGGAACAGTTCATTTGGGTTTTTAAATATTGTCTGTGTTTTCAGTGCCAGTATTGCAATAACTTTTATCATTTCCTTAGTTTCTTCCTGTTCTACAAAAAAAAAGAGCTCTTAATTGGTGCAAGCACATGTTTGTTTGGTGCAAGCACGTTTGTTTGAAGATGTGTACTTGTATGTGCTTGTCGTGAATATGTGAGCACCTAAGATTAATTCTGGATCAACATTGAAATGAATCTAGCTGAATTTGTTTCAATGTGTGGAGCTGCTTTGTGAGCATTGTGAGTTCTCTGTCTGATTATTTTTAACATCCTAGAAGGTCATGATCACTGCATGCATGCACAGCATGGGATTTCTAGGCTTCTGCTTTAGATAAGGTTGAGTTTATAACAGATTTGAAAAATGCATTCTCAGGGCTCAAGATGAGATCATTGTATAGTAGTTACATGTATTAATCTCATGTATATCATCATGCATACTTTCGAGTTAATCCTGTGGTCCTTTCTTTGCAGCTGTAAAAAATAGTTTGAGACTGCCTTAGCATAACCTCTGTTAATCTCTGCCTAAGTCAATAGGAAGTTTGAAATAACAGTTCCAACTTGAGAGATTTGTTTCAGAGGATGTAAATTCATGTAGTGAATAAAAAGTTGAACAAGAACAATGATGGGAATTTTGTTACTTATCAAAGCTGAAGAGAAAAGGAATAATAGATTGTGTTGTATTCGATGATTTTTCAGTCCATGTTTATTTTCTGAGATAGCTTAGATGTCTGGTCTCTTTTTCCAATATAGATCTCTCAATTTCCTGTCTAATAGCTTATTTACAGTTCAGTAAACTTGGTCAATGAGGTCAAAGTTTTACTCTCAAATTTTGACCACTTTGAAAAATTGAACATGGAAGTAGTTTTTTCTGTCTCCTTGGAACACATGTTTAGTTAAATACAGACATATCTTACTCCTCTGGTTTTTTTTCTTTGTTCAGAAGGAGAATATGAGAAAATCTCTATCTCTAACATTATCAGAAAGTGAAAGCAGCTCAAAACAGGTTTTAAGGGGACTTCACATTATAAATATTCAATATTACCAAAATATATATAGAGAGAGATATCAATGAAGTAATAATTTGAAATATTTAGTAATATTTATATATAATAATTAGGTATAATATAAATATTTTTAAATATAATTACATGCATAGTTACTTTATTTTAGCTGTAACACGTCAAAGTTGGGGGAGGAAAAGGGGCTTAAATTTTGTTCTGATATGAAGTACATTCACCATTGCAGTCCTGAAGTTAAAATCTCTAGGTAGAACAAGGTAAGTCTATTTATTGAGATAAATGACTCTTGCTGGTGTTCATTTAAGCTATTTACTGTTATTCCTGAATTTGAAAGCATCTCTACAATTTTTTAAGTAGTAGGTAATAAAAAATTAATCCAGGGAATAAAGGATTCTATCAAAAAGAAGCCAACAGAAAATTGAGTAAACTGGTTTTACCTTGCTGTTTAAGTGCTTATCTCATAAAACGACTGGAAGGGATAGCAGTTAGTTTACTTGTCAGCAAGGGATATTTAGTTGCCTACAGTGGTAATTTGATAGTATATAGTATTTCTATAATAGTATGAAATCTGAAGAGGTGCATGAAGGTCCTTTATTTTTGTGGATGATGTGAAATGAGCTGAAGATACTTCTGTACAATTCCTAGGTGATCCCTGTTGGAACTGCAGGTTTCCTTCCAGTTAACTATGATTTTTACTGACACTAACATATTAAGAGTCTCAACAGAAACAAGGAATCACTAATTTAAATGGTAATAACAAATTCTGATCTTTTCATAAACAGAAGTGAGTTTGCTCTAATGTTAACTGTTGTGAGGTTGCAGGATGTTTTTTGGTATCGGAGTACTTAATTCTGTAATTCTCATAAATGTTACATTTGCCTGAGTAAAACTGGAAGAAGGAGGGGGAGGTAAGCCTTCATTAGGTATTTAGTTTCATATTTTGAAGATGAGAGACAAATCATCCTTCTGGGGGAAAAGGGTATATCTTTAAATTGTCCATTATGTATAGTCATCTTTTCTGTATAGGGCCAGCTCTTCCTTGTCATTTAAAAGTTTCAGTCCTTAGGTGTATACTGTATTACATATCCCAAAATACCTATAACGGTGTGATGGCGTTCTTCCTGAAATCTCAGTAATTTATATGTATACATATATACTTACATATACATATATTTATTTTAACTAATGGTTTGCCACTTCAGTAGGCAACCCTAATTTTCCAAAAGACATCCTTGTTCTCTTTGGAGTTGCCCATTTTTCTGAAGATGTAAATTCCACAAAGGGAGTACTACTGTTGAGCTAATTTGTATTACAGTAACCATTTCCTGAACAAGCTAGCTGGAATAATATTGGTTGAATTATTGAACTTATTGGCACAGCTCTAGCTTTAACTGTATTTCCAAATGTTCCATGACCTCACTGTTCTCATGCATGTTAACATTTAAAACTGTGTTCTGATGGTCTAACTCATTTATATTACATTCTGTACTGGATATTATGTGCGTGTGTTTTTAACACTCTAGTATTGAAAAAAGTGTTTTTGTTGTACCTAAGAAAGCAAGGTTCTGAATTTTTCTGGCTTTGTAATCACATACTTAGGGTGTAGTGGTAAATATATATTGTCTCTATATGTAAATTTTTGTGCATGTTACATATACTTCTTTCCTACAGACATTGACGATGCTCAAATTCTTCCACGTCCACCTCGAGTCAGACATTTTTCTCAGAGTGAGGATGCTCCAAGTGAAGTTTTTGGTGCATTAAATGAAGAACAGCCACTGCCACGAAGCAGCAGCACCTCTGACATCCTGGAACCGTTTGCAGTTGAACGAGCCAAAGGTGCAGTTCCTGTCATTGACAGTTCATCCCATCATGCTCCAAGCTTACAGAGTTCCACTGAGACCTCTTCAATGCATAGATCCACTGAAAGCCATATCACTGATACAAATAGCAGAGAGTCCTCCTTGGAAGTTGGGGATAGTATTTATGACCATCTTTGTCATTTAATAGGGCCGGTAGAATTTGCAAACACTGCCTTTGAACAAAGCCAGTATGTTGACCTTGAAGGTGAAGATGATCTCCTTTCCTCTCTGAGAGAATATCTTATTAAAGAAAAAGAAGAACTTTGCGGTAACTTTGAGATAGAGAAATGTGAGGCTTCTGCTCATGAAGTTGATACATCAGTAAGTAGGAACGATAGATTACCACTGGATGGATTAGAAAATAGAGATCAGACTGGGCAATGCACGACTAGCAACACTGTTGCAGAAAGAGCCAATAACACGGAGCTGCAACTAGAACAAAACCCAAGTGGCTTTATAAGTAATATTGCACCTACTCAAGTAGACTTTTTTACAAGAAATCAAGCGCTCAATAAGGCCAGACAGTTAGATATTGATAAACAATATGAAAGCGTGTTTGATCATGGGTCAAGTAGTCCTAGCAGCAAAGAAGGGAAGAGATACCTGTACAGGCAAGCAGCCACTGAAACTGATGTAGATTTAGTTGTGGAAGCACCGGTAGCTGAAAAGCATAAAAATGCCCAGTTTAATGAAAAAGTGACCAACTCGCGCATTGTCCATGCAAAGAAAATCCTTCCTAAAGCACAAGTTGATCCTCAAATGCCTCACATCATAGGCACAAGCAAACTGGCACCAACTAAAAGAAGTATATCTGAAACCGTAACTCATAGGGCCAAAATAATGAAAATAACAACTAAAAAAAGAAACAGCGTTCATGTTACTTTTAGGCCATCTACAGAATCGGTTCAGTTTTACAATCCTCTTGAGAACAAAGAGGCTGCTTGGAAAGCAAGACTTCGTAAACTTGGTGGCTTCAGTAGTAGCAGTAGTGGTAGCAGCAACAGCAGTACCAGTGCAAGCAGTAGCTCATCATCTGCCACAGAGCTGGTTAGACCTGGAATATACAGGCATCTAGATGCAGTCAGTGCTGCTTTGGCTGGCAGCAAGCAAGTTAAGGAATCTACAGAAACTCAAGGAACTGTGTTGCAGAAAGAAGGTCTTGCAGTTAGTCAGTCCCAATGTCGTAGTGCCTTTAGAGCACCAGGTCAGGAGTCGGCACAACAGCAGGGCTCCCTGGGTGGTGTTTATAAAACTGTTGTACATGCTCTTTCGAAGCCGAAGGCAAATGTTTCCCCACAGAGGCAGAACAGAATGCCAGCAGAGGCTCCACTGAGGGATCTGTACAGTCATGTAATGGGCTATTTTGGAAGGAAAGCTGCAGGTGAGCACTAACAGTGTGCAGAGCGCAAAAGGAGAAAGGCAGCACCAGTTTGGCTTAATGCAACTGAAGCAAGCTCTGATAAGCAATCAAAAGGCTTTGGGATGATCACTGCTTTCCCTGTTTGGTTATGCATGCGCCTATAGCCAGCTGATTTTTCTCCCAGCATAAGTTACATTTACATACCCTTAAATTACTAATTTTTCTTTTCAAGATATTTAGTTGAACCTCTTTGCTGCTGAAGATCATCAGATTAGGGAAGAGGAAGAGACAGTAAATGACCTAATAAAGGATTAAGCCTTGAGACTTGAATTTTCATCTACCATGCAGAGCCTTCAAATTAAGCCTACTGATTGGCAATGCATATTTTTATCAGAATGTGTTATTCCACTCTGAGTGTAGTTGTTTTGTCAGGACCTGGCTTCCTATCAACTAGGTTGAACTAATTGTATTTCTGGTTCATTTAGTGTGTTTTCTTCTTCCTCCTCATCCTCTTCCTCCTTTTCCTCCTCCAAAACAAAACCAAAAAAGAGCCCCTCAAATTTACATTTGGAGGTCATTTAGATAGTTTTAAAAAAATAGTCCGAAATAGTAATCTGCTATTTACTGGAATGATTTCATTACAAGAGTTCTCTGAGTCTAATCATAAGGTTTTGTTTGAGTCTGTTTCAAAACATGTCATAGGCCTTCCTATATTCATTCATCCAAATGGCTGCAGTTAAATCTTGGCAACATCTTCCATTGCTTTCTTTTTTTCTTGGCATCTTGGATGTTCATGAAGGTCTTGTGATACTCTTTTGCCTGCTAACTATGAGACCTCTGTGGACTGATCAAAAAAGAAGGCTGCAACTCTAATACACATTGTCTTAGTTCACATAAGCATAAATGAACAATAAATTAACTTTCAGCAGTAATGCAGGTTTTCTTTTTTCCCCATTGTTATGCTGGCATGATTAACAGAGGATTCTGCAATGCATCCTGCATCGAGATGTTAATGCCACCTGAGGGCAGTCTCTGTAAGCACAGCACCTGAGAGCGGTACTGTCACGGGTCTCACAAAAATGATTTGCTGCTCTTCAGAAATTAGATTTCTGAAAAAGACATATCTAGGAAGCACCAATTTTAGAAGTACCTGTTATTTAAAATCCAACATTTAACAGAACCTCGTTGTTAGAATAAACTGCACTGTGGTCTCATAAGAGATGACGCTGAGGGAAAAGTTTGTATAAAGAGAACATAAGCTGGAATAACTTGAAGACTTTAAAGGCTAATATCATAAAGTCAGGTGTAACAGCCGCAGCTAAATATGAACAGAACAGTATAGTTATATCAAAAATATAACACTAATACAGCAGTGAACTTCATTAATTTTTCATGACCATTGATCATCTAGAGTTAGAACTTTCATTCCATATACTAGCATGTAATTTTATTATGTAACATTTTCTTTGCACTATTCATACTAACTGTATACAGTGCTACGTTGCCATTTGTCATTAGTATCTATTACAGCCTAGTTTACTTTTTCCATTATATTGCTGTTCATTAGGAATGCAATGAAGAAGGAGCCTGAAGGAATCACATAATTTTTTTAGAATTTGTTTCTTACTTGTGATATGGAGGAAGAATATGTGCTTTATCCTTAAAGCAAGCATTAACAACTTTGAGTAGTGCTTACCTATAAGCTTCCTGCTCTTAAAGGTGGAATTGGAAATCAACTAACCCCTGCTTAGTGGGAAGAAGAAGCCGTACTAATTCTGAAAATAGAATCTGCTTTAAAAGAGAGACATTCTTAAAATGCATGTTTGGCAATTTTGATTTTTAAATTTCTGTTAATTAGCAGGATTTTTCATTTGTTACGTATTGTTTTGAAAATGTCTTGATGCGTTCTTTACTATAAATGGTTGTTCATTTGCTTTTAGCTAATAGAGAGGACATGAGTCAAAAGCTGCACCCTATTGATAGTGATATTGGCAGTAGCAATACAAATGTTCCTGACCTCATGGATGAATTTATAGCTGAGAGACTCCGCAGTGGTAATGCACTGGTAAGCCTTTAAACTTGCTACATTTCAATACTTAAGTCTCCATATATGTGTGAACTTGTCAATGACATGAAAAATCAGTTCAATAAAAAGTATTTCTCTGGCTTTTGTGAACCAGAATTAAGAATGTTGCTTAATTATTCCTTGCCTTTGGCTTAGATTCTTGCTGTTTTGTATCATTTGTGTTTTCATATCTATTAAATCTTCATCATGGAGCAATGCAGAAGTTACTGTCAGATGAATAGTCTCACTGAATTAAACAGCCTTAATTGCACCTGCAAAGATACCTGTACGTAGACACTTTCAGAATGCTAGTTCGAATGTGAATTTGCAGTCCTCAGCAGGTATGTAATTGAGTAACATGCTGTACTACAGTACTGTTCTCTACAGGTATAGTCAATGCAACAGACTACAAAACTACTCAAATATATATTTTTTTTCCTTTTTTTTAGTTTCATTTCCAAGTGTTGAATAATTTCTTGTAAATAGTGCTCTGCTAATTGAATCAACTTTCCATTTGCTTTTTTCCTACACTGTCCCAAAAGTGTAATGTTGTTTGGAATGGCATTAATAATAAAAAAATTTAATCAATTTTAAATTAAGAATTTCTGGTTACTGTTGAGTGCTTACAGAAAGAGACAACTGATTTGAAGAGATAAGTGCTTATTAAGTAGTAATAAAAGGGAAAATACAAAAAAAAGTTGCAAATTAAGAACAGAATGGGTAACAATTTAAAGATAGTGTTTCAAAATTGTTTAGTTCCTTTTTCTTAGAAGTTTTCAAGGTCCTTTGAGGACATGCTCCTGTAAGACATACTGCTATAGAAAATTGTCAGTAAGGAGTTGGTGATAATAAGGGACAAAAGAAGATTCTTTAAAGTTATTTTAAAAATTGTATATTTGTCATCACCTTTTAGAAATGTTAAAAGAGGATCTATAGAGTTTGTCCATAGGTATACTTTTTTGTATTGAACTCATGTTTATGAAACTTGATTGTTGGAGCAAAGTATTCTTGTTAGTAGTCTTAAGTTACACAACGAAATGCTAACTTGTAGTCTATGGAAAAGGTTAACTTAGTCTGAAAATTAATGAAACAGAAATCGTCACAGCTGGTTCCAGAAGAGAGAAAGGGAGGGATTACTCTCTGTTTTGAGAACTGATACTTTCCTCAGGTAGTAGAAAAGAGCTGAGATAAGTTTGAGTAAATACTCTGAAACTAACACTCATTTTTTTAATTAGCACACAAAAAGACTCGCCTTCTTAAAGCAGTACCAACTTACTAAGATTACTTTTAGATTTTTGTATCTATTGAATGCTAAAACCATATCATGAAAAGCTTATTAGTCTGAGTTAACCTAAAATTAGTAGTAGAGTAGTAAAAGAATGCAGAACTGACTGTGCCTAGTGTAAAAGGAAGACATCTTTAGTCTCATAATGCATACAAATTTCAAGCTATTCCTAAAATAGCTTTTCTACTTTGGTATCTCTTCCCTCTCAAGCAAACGTTGCTATCTGTGGGAAAAAATGCCTTAAAAAAAGACATCAAATAGGCCACCACCTTACTTGTACATGAGCAAATATGCATGACTTACTTCTATTTTGTATGGCCTTTTGTGTTCCAAACCAGTACCAAAATGGTCTTTTAATCATAAGAAGATTAATGCATGAATTAGTAAATTAATTTGCTTCTTCTATAAATTCAGTTTTTGGTTATATATGGCGGGCTATAGGACACTGTGTCTGAAACCAAGGTTAACAAGTTTTCTTTAGTTATTTAGATGTAATATACTTTTAAAGTACTTTTTTTCTCATATCTTACCTGCCATGTGGCCCATGCTACTCTGAATCCTAACCTTCTACGATATGTGTCCAAAAATCCACTGTGCAAATAAAATTTGTATTTATTAAATTCTGTGATTGCATGGATTCTTCATCTGAGGGTTTGGAAAGTCTCGGCATTTAGAATGATGACAGTTTCTGGCTTAGGTGCTTAAGAACTGTTTGTTACATTCTGACTTCAGCAAATGTGGGATCGCTTTTCCCATTTTATCTAAATAAGCCATCCAAGATGGTAAGATAATTTATGTATCTTCAATATTTAGAATGTGACAAGAAGAGGAAGCAGCCCTGGCAGCCTGGAAGTTCCTAAAGACCTTCCTGATATATTGAACAAGCAGAACCAAATGCGTCCTGTGGATGACCCAGGCGTGCCTTCCGAGTGGACGTCGCCTGCCAGCGCGGGCAGCAGTGACCTCATCAGCTCCGACAGCCACTCTGACTCCTTCAGCGCCTTCCAGTATGAGAGCCGCAAATTTGAAAGCAAGTACATTTTTCCAAAAGTAGTACCATTTTTGATTAATGTATTGCAAATTTCCTTTCTTTTGTGTGTTGTTATATTGGTTTTTTCCCTGGATAAGGTTGTATGCCAGAAGTTTTCTGTAGATAGATTATTTTGATTTTTCATTGAAATCATTAGCAAGTTTATGGATCAAGAAAAGTTCTTGCAAGGGGCTATTTTTTATTTTAGTAGACCAGAACAAAAGAGCGCTGGAATACTGCTATGCAAAGAGGAGAACATAACTGAACAAAAGTTAGAAGACAATATTTTCTCCTCTGTGGGGGTGTATCCATCTGATTTGCACAAAATATAAAAATTAAAGCTTATTCATTTTAGTTCTTTTGAAAGTAATTAGTAACACTTAACGAAAGGCTTCTGATATTTTTACAGTGGTCGTTGTGCAGCTATAGATTAATCAAGATCTAAGTGTAATATCATGGTAAAATTAGTGTGCTTTGTTAAATAATACAATGCTTTTCACTCATTTTATTTGTCCATTCCCACCCTTGCTTAACAGAGGGGGTCATTATGGTTGCTATGAATTATGACATCATATAAGATAAAAATAGTATTTATATAGTAGAATTTTTGGAAGAAATTACAATTTTTATATATGTCTCCATTATGCAAATAAGCTGTGACATTTAAACCTACATTTCAGCCTGACATTTTTTTCGTTAGTTGAGGATAACATTTGTTAAGGTATCATTTGCTGTAATATGTTTAGTTTGAAGTTAGTACTTTTTCAACAAGCTTGAATATTCCTTCCAGCTTGTAAATTTTACAAATAAATTCCTTAATGTATGATTCCATTATTTTTGTATTATTCAGATGTAGATGCACTTACAGCAGCTAAGCAGAATGCAGACATGCAACCAGAATGTCTTCTGCAGTCATCAAGTCATGGGTTTACAACAGGAAAGTGAATATTCATAATATATAATAATACTTTGTACTGTTGTATTTTATTTAAATTTTGCAACAGCGTTCTAGTAGCATAGAAGATGCACATTCAAGGTTTCTGTTTAGTTTGGAGGTCTTGGACTTTTGAATTTTTTTTCATATTAGTAATATTTATATGTTGTGAGTTAATACAATGCTTTCCTCATACAGATTTCAGCTTTGGCACTGAGGCAGGGACTCCAGCTTCTACTGACATTGATGCAATTTCAGGCCAGCAACAAAGTGCCGAGGAACAAGAAGTGGCCAGTCTAACTACACTCCACATAGATTCAGAAACAAGTAGTCTCAATCAGCAGCCATTGTCTGCTGAGGCTGCAACTATTACTGGTAAAGTATATTTAAAGAAAAAAAGTATTTATTTTAGAAATTTTCCACCCATCCTGAAGAATGCAACTTCCAGCTTCTGCCAATAATCTATATTCTGTTTAAGATGATTCCCTTATTTCAATTATTTTTAATTGCTATTGAAAAGTAATATGTGAAATAACCTAAGTGGAAAACCTTTGTCTGACTTAGTTATCCATCGTCCTAAATGTATTTTAAACCTTTCATGAGAAAATCTGTATAATTACCAAGGAGACACTCTTACCACATAATGTATGCTAGATCTCTTCTAAATGTTCTTCTATTACTGGTAGTTAAATAATTAATTTTCATGAAATGTTTTTGCTTTGGAAGGTTTTCATAGTGCTCGTTCAAACCAGTGTATCACACTGAAGCATCTTGTGATTCTTTTGTATGCATTGATCTTAGTGTATCTTTATACTGATTGTTATGTAACTGAGAAGTTTTATTCTGCAAAATGTTAGTTATTTGGTCATGGAAGGTCACTTTCCATTTGTGTAACTGAAAAGTGATGCAGTTAACAAAAATTGAATGGGCCTCTGTCTGAGAGAATGCTTCTCTGAGGATGATCTGAAAGAATGGTCTCTTGCCAGGTTTTGTACAGGAGAAGTAAAGATGTCCACAGTCATTTTCATACTCCTTGTTCCATAGCTGTTATACACTACCATTCCTGTTACAACCTTAGTTGTAACAAGTAACAAGTTGCAACAAGTATCTATATATCTGTGAAAGCTTATACCTACATACTGTGTCTTGTTCTCAGTTAGAAATCAAACTCTGCATTTTCAGAGATATGGAAAGACATCTTTACTTCCTCTGCTATAATTTTCATTTTTTAAAAGTGTCCTTCTGCTGAAGGAGCCATGGTATTAGCTTTCATGGACATTGTTGTTCAGCTTGTTCCACAATGTTCAACTTGACTTGTGTTCTCTTCATTTTTCTCTTTGCTATGTGCTTGTTGAATGTTCCTGCTGTAGATCTGTTCTTCTTCTGTTTGTTTGTATGTTTTTATATGTTAATAACTTCATTGCTGTTTGGTATTTTTGTCTAAGTGTACACTATAATTGAATTGGTAAGATTGCAATTAGTGACTGAGCTGTACATTGAGCGATTCTGTGGTTCTCTTCTTGCTTGAACCACGGTTTTAGAGAGACAGCTCTTGTGTGTCACATGCATTTAGCTGGGTTTCCTGAGGAAAGAATACTTGTGCAATTGCTTTGTCTGTCTCTGACTGTTCCATGCGCCCAACAATGTTGGAGCCCATTGTCTCATTTTTGCTAAACTGACATATAAGAAAACAGAAGGATGTTATTTTATTTGATGTTTTATGAAAGATAGGCAGCTATCTAGTGAATATTGCATGTATGCAGACTTTCATGATGGAAGCTGCAATGTGAATTTCACTATATTAGATGCCAGCAAATCAATGCAGAAACTCAACCTCAAAACATATTCATAATAAATAAGTTTCCAGTGATTCTGCTGAGCAGAAAACGACTCTCTAAATCTGAAGGGTTTTGGAAGGATAATTTCTTTCTGGTATATGGGCATTACATCATATTCTATGTAAATCATAAAGTTGACTATTGACTGCTGTTTACTAGTCCTAGAATATGTTGTACCTGTGGGAGTCTCAGTCTAAATCAGATCCACATATGCTGGAGTATCTTTTAATGACAGACTCCTGTAGTTCTGCAAATTCTCCATAATTGTTTCTGTCCATTCTCTTCCATCATATGAAGATTTCTTTCTGTCCTTCCTCTGCTCCCTGCCTTCCCTGTCTGCTCTTTCTTTCCATCTTATTCACTTTCTTTCCCTCTCTATCCCACTCTCTTTCTCTCCTCCCCATCACTCTTTCTTGCTGCTTTTTTGGAACTACTTTCATCTGTTCACTAATGAGCAGAATGGAAATGAAGTAAGAAAATACTTCTTTTAACATCTTTGAAAGGTGTATTTTCGTTTAGCTCTGTAAGCGTGTGGAAAACCTAGTGGTCAGTAGCAAGAAAGGATTGTTACCTAGTCACATGAAATAACAGTCTATGTGTGAAACTATAGTGTCTCTCTATCTTGCATAGAGGTGTTGATTTAAATTGATAGTTCAAGCTTCATTGTCTTAGCCATTTAAAGGAGATAAAGACCTTCGCAGTTTAACAATGTAATAAAGATAGTTTACTGCAATTTCTATTCTGATACCGGTAATAACATTTTCTGTCAAGTTATTTAAACAATTTGTTCTCTTTATAAGAAAGGACACTTCTCTCAAATGAGAAATGTTCTTCAATGATTCTCACAATGATTTGGGAAAATTACTGTTTAAAAGACGCACTTTTCAATTGCTGTCCCTAAAGTTCACTTTATCACTAATACTGAACTTTACACATAATATTTCTGTGTCCCTGTTACATTTATCTAAGAACTAAAATTAATAGGAATTCTTCCATTTTAACATGATGTGTGGAAAAGTCTGTGGGGAGTATTTATTCTCTTTTTGTCTGCCATGTGACTGTTCTGGCTAAACTCAGCCATTTGTAAATTAGACAAATTCAGGAAGTGAAATATAAGATACTACAGAAGAAGTAAATACGGCTACTTACTCCCTCTCCACAGATCACACGGTAGAGACCACATAATTGCCCAGTCAGAGACTATCACAGAAAAATGCCTTTGTAGCACTGTCGTTCAGACACTTCTGATTTCCTGTTTTAAAGGAAATAACACCCCTCTAACTATACAGAACTTTCCCATCATATGGATTTTCTTAGCTCAATCAGTAGATAAACACCAAAGATTATCAGTTACTGGTTTGAGGTTTTATTTATATATTAACTTGCATGCATCTATAATCCTGGAAAAGCATTTGTTCCAGGAAGATTTTGCTTAAACATTTTGCTAGAGAAAAATTTAGGTGAGGGAATGTGATGAGAAATTTGGCTGGTTCAAAACACTGATAGTACTGCAAAACAGACACATTCAGAATTATTTGGACCTAAAATAGAGGTCTGCTAGTCCACTTACCTGTCTGATTTTGATGTTCATCTTTCAGCTTTTCTGCATGCACTTCGTTTTCTTTTAGACCACCACCCACAGGGAGATCTGCTTACTGTTTTGTATCTTTTCTTGGCCCAATTTGATACATGAAAGCAGCTCAGTTTTCTGTTAATGCTCTATTTAGAGAACATTTCAATAGCTCAAGAAAATAGAAAAGGCTTTTAAGGTAACTGTTAAAAATTACATTTGCAGGCTCTGAAAGTGCTTCTCCAATCCAATCTGCTCTTGGATCCCGATCACAGACACCCTCTCCTGCCACTCTTCATGCAGATCATATTGAGCAGAAGGATCTGCAGCTGGATGAGAAGCTCCACCACTCTGTTTTACAGACGCCAGATGACCTAGGCAATATCTGGAATAGAAAATACAAACCTGTTCTTTTTCTATCTCTTTTTCTGTCTTTCTGTCTCTTTCTGTCTTTCTGTCTTTCTGTCTCTCTTTCTCTCTCTCTGTCTCTCTTTGTCTTTCTGTCTCTGTCTGTCTCTTTCTCTTGTTTTCTCTTTCTTTCTTTCTTTCTTTCTTTCTTTCTTTCTTTCTTTCTTTCTTTCTTTCTTTCTTTC